GGGTTATAAAGAATCCTGAAATATAGACAGCTTTCTTTCTACCGAATTTATCCCCCAGTGGTCCTATCATTATGGCGCCCAAAGACCATCCAGCAAAAATCAGAGAAGAAGAAATAGTTCCGTAAATAGCGTTGTTACAAACCAGATAAAACTGCAAAAATCATAGTTATTTGTTAGTCGCGACTAGTTTTAGTTTTTCTTTTGAATGGTTAAGAAAGCGGCGCGAATTTCCTGCACAGATCACAGTGCGAAATGAAACAAAATCAAAGCAATTCCGGCTTCCCTTGACATCTTGAGAATTGCTCTATTGATAACCATCTAATCAAAATATTCGTCCAGCAATAATCGTCGAAAAATTGGCGTCTTGAAATTTCAACTGAAGAACAGACCATGATCCAGGCTCAATGGAAATCCAACTTCCTCTTCAGGGATCCAAGAAACTGACAAACCAAACATGAGGGTATTGCGCATATGCACCCACAGTTGTAGAGCACGAGCTTATAAGTCTGAGGAAACTAGACGCAAAAAGGTTTTAGACCGCTGATTTTCTAAGCTTACCTGCGTTACAATAGAAGTGAAGTCTTCCACGAACTCCCAGGAGGTTCTTGATATGTTACACCGGAAATTGTAATTCAGGTCGCCAGGTTTCATGGTCCCACCGAAGGGGCATTCGGTGCTGTTACTAGAAACGCACCGCCAAGCTGGTTCAGCGGTAATAAAAGTCATTAGCAGCACCGGCCATGCATACCAGAAACACTGGTTGACACTGGATAAGACCAGACTAAATAGCTGAAATCGTCCAAAGCTGCCAATTTTCTCCAAGACTTCGTCTGCTGTCATTGCCATTTTTAAAACATTGATAACCTTATATAGATCGCTCGATTCAGCCACAACTTTAACTATGATCGGTCAAGAGATGATGATGGGAGTGAAAAGATCAAAAGATCCAGGTTACAGAGCCAGAATGGCATATTTTTTTTTGTGTGTGTTCTTGAGCAAGAATTTTGACTGTCACATACCATAGCTTCTCTCTGCCCAGAAGTGCCAAAGGGTACAATAACTGATATAAGCTGCAGCCTTTACCCTATTGCTACATAAATTGAGAGCCAGGAAAGAAAGCCAACCGTGCTTGTAGCACATTAAATCCAAGAGAATCATTTGTGTTTTATTTGTTTCGACTGTCTTCTACTGCCAACTTTATAAGGTACTAACTTTAAAATTGTGCTCAACAAATTACATTTTCTTGCCTGGGCCAAAGCAGGCAATCTTGAGTGGGTTCGATGGGTCCATCTTGCCCGCTTTGGTAGACAATCGGAACACAGGATTCACTTTATATTGCCCACGGTCTCTGTCGGCTATATAATAATATGTGGGCAAGATGACGCGAATCCTGTGTTCTGATTGGCTACCCGAGTGGGTAAGATAGGCCCATCTTGCCCGCTC